CGCCCACTGTCAGTCATCCACTGTCAGTCAGTCGCCCACTGTCAGTCGCCGACTGTCAGTCAGTCACCCATTGTCAGTTACCCAATGTCAGTTACCTACTGTCAATTACCCACTGTCAGTCATCCACTGTCAGTCACCCACTCCTGGAAGGGGAAGCTTGAAAAGACCCTTCCGTCAAGCATATGCTTGAGAACACTGCTCTCCAAAAAATGTCAGGAAGTCTTTTTACATATTATCCTTTCCCCGCTAAAGGCTGACTGTTAATTCCAGTGCCTGGGGATCTGAACCACTTATAGTGCACAGAGGCTTTAGTTTATGTTGGCTGCTTTCCTCACTGTGTTACTAAGTCCTGCCACTGCTAAGAGGAATAAGAAGACAGACAGACACACACACACTCTATCTGAAGCAGCAATATTTCTTACTCTGGTTTAAGAATTTGATGCATCTTACAAGTCATAAAAACGAGTTTAGAAAATGGTTTTGAAATACAAAGTACATTATTTTTCTAAAAGATTGTATTGTTTACCTTGTTTTATCTGAAAATAAGTCTAAAGTCAAGCCTAAATAGCAAACGTTGATAACTAATAAATATTCTATAGAATCCTTTGAAGTGTGAGAAGCTTTCCTTACCTAAGTGAATGTGGGAAAGGTGCCCTACCATTTCCTACAGAGAGGAGCCAAATTATGTTCAAAACCATTTACAGCAAGCAGTATTCCACAGGCAAACAAACCATGTACAGCAAGCAGTATTCCACAGGCAAACAAACCCCACTTTTCATGCCTGTCTATGTGCAAAGCCCATTATGTAAGAATTTATTCTTATTTATAAGGGAAACAATTACATGTATATAAATACTTTTATTCCCTTGTATATATTTTAATTACTCAATTTTCCATACAATTCAATTTGGGAAAATCACATATACAAAGCAACATATTTTAGCGTGTGCATGAGCGTACACACACACACATACACACACACAGAGAGAGAGAGAGAGAGAGAGAGAGAGAGAGAGAGAGAGAGAGAGAGAGACTTAATCCTGAAAGTCAAGTTTCTAATTAGGATTTTAAAAATATGAAACCATAATTTGGTTATGTTCCATTTTTAAATTTAATTGAAAAATTTAAGATCCATAACATCACATTTCAGAACCATTCTTTAAGGAGACATGACCCATAGCTGCTTCCTGTGTACCTGGTGATGCTGCCTGGTAAATGATTTTCTCCCCATCTCTCTCTGGTACAGCTGTGTGGCAGACGGCCATCATTGTGAGAAATTCACAGATGATAGGTGCGGTTGGCTGCAAGGAATAAACACATAATTCATCCCCTTTTATTTAAACATCTGACACTAACAGCAGAAATGTTACTTCATGGTCATTTATTAAGAGTACAGCTGGGACGCATTGGGGGTGTGGGATCACAGCCAGTATCTATTATGAAGGAAACCTATTTGGAAGTCAACTTAGGCATTTTTGTACTTCCTCATTCATCCTGTAAACATTTATTTAACATGATTTTTGTGCTTCTAAATAGAAATGGTAGAAGATAATGATGAATTTGGTCTTTAGTGGACAGAAGAGATATGTAAAATGTTCACTTGCTTGTTTGTAATTTCTAGCCACATTTAAATTTCAGGCATCTAACATTTAAACAGGGATGGTGATGATGTGTGTCTCTCTGTAATGTTGTCTTTCCTCTTTCCAAAAATGGCTACCTTAACCCAGTACATAATGGCGTGCTTGCGTGTATGTATGTATGTATGTATCACAAACAATTACTAAGTACAATCAACTCTTGGGGCTTGAGGAAGACTGAAGACTCAATCCTTTCTGTAGGTATCTCAGATCTGCTGAGAAAAGAACCTAGACACTAAATATTAAACATCTTTGTGTCTGGCTTCTGGAGAGAAATTTCATTCAAGTTAATAAAGAAAAATAATATGTGCCCGTGTTCGTATAACCTCCCATTATAAAGTGAACCAACTGAAAAGGTTAAATCAGGTTATGGAAACAAAAACTGGTTACACTAAGAGAGTGGACAAAGCACAGATGGTCCCAGCCACATGAAGCTTACTTAGACTTGTAGGAAGATCGAGGGGACATAAGTGACAGCGTTGTTTATTTACAGCATGCTAAGGAGTGTAAAGAGAATATGCGAATGTCATGTGGCTGTTCATGAGAGGTGAAGACAGAGATATGGAAGAAGTTTTAGGCGAATGAAGAACGAAGCACTGAGAATTTCACCGGGATGAACGGCATGAAACTAATAAGGGCCCAGAGGAGAAAAGATGGAAGGATTTGAAAAAAATGAAAGAAGGCTTCTGGAGGAAGAAAAAAAAAGTTGCTCTGGGCAGTGTAGTGATGTAGGCAGGGGCCACATCAGGAGACTCGGTGAGGGATGGTGGAAGCCAGGGAGGTAGTGTGACTTGTATTCCAGGGCTGTTAGTTAAGACACAAACCAGGAGCTGGGCAGAAAGCTGAGGCAGCTGACGGGGTTACCCTACCTGAGGGGTTGTGACGGTCTGGTTGGGGAACTGTAGGTATGAGTTTACTTCAGTAGATACTCTGGCTGTGTTCTAAGTCAGTACTAAGATGGGCAGATGCTCTCTTACCAACAGAGCTAAGTCATACCTATAAGATACCTGAGGGAGAAGAGAGCCATTCTCTAACACTAAAAGCAAGGAAGACATTTTGACTGATGATATAGCACCTTGTGTTTCAGTTTAATTGAATTTTTTGGGCTATTTTTAAAAAGAGTCTTCATTGGCATTTACATATGTTATATTGCTCAGCTAGGTTAGCTCACTCTGCACCGGTCTGCTCTTCTCTCTCTATTTGTCAGATCTACAAGGCTTTTGTTCCTACTTTAGGTTTCCCCAATTCTGTCCTCTTTATACGTTTCCATTTTCTTCTAGTTTTAGTAATATTTAAATTCTGTTTAGTCTAACAATATCCCAACCCCCTCTCCTATTTAGGGGGAAACAGAAAATAGACTCAATAAAAATAGAACAGAGACTTCTTCAAATCTAGGGAAAGATATAAGCATCTGACCACAGGAGGCATTTATGCCATTAGCACACATGAAATAAACTAAATCTAAAAAAAAAAGATCATATAAAGAAAAATATGAGGGGAATAATCATGAAGGAAATATGAGAATATTCATTAGTGCTCATCTCCTAGGGACAAATAACACTCTGATGTCACTTACATGGTTATTCTGGAGATTTTCCAGCAACGACGGATCATTAAAGGTTTTTTCATCTCCAAACTGTGAGCTTTGCCTAAAGGGGAAAAAATAAAGCAAAGTTGGTTCACTGGTTTAGGCCTACTCACCTACTTCTAGTGACGAGTGATTACTCTCAAGATATTCAAATGACTGATTTCATGACTGTCATAAAAATATTCTAAATATTAATAAAGCTATTAAAATTGTTTTTACTTTGGCTACATAGGAACTCTTTATGTATAGTGACAAACACAAATGATCATATTAAATGCAAAAATGTGAACAGTAAACTAGTTACATAGTTTGTCAACAATTATAAATACGTGTAAAAAACACTTTGGAGCATATCATATCGTCCTAGACAGAAAGGAAAATAACCATGAACCTGCATGGGATTCGTATTGTGGCTGGGTCTTTATATTAACAAATGAATTATGTACTTTGCTTGATACAAATAGAATCTATATTAATTTTTGAATCTATCTATTGTTTTAAATTATCTATTGCTCTAATTTCATGAGCATGCATTAAAAAAAATCAAACCAAGGATCATTTAAGTAGGCATATCAAAATACTTCAAAGTACCTTTGAAGTGCACCTTGAAAATATATACGTGAGCTTTCTTTTTTTTCCCTATATAGAAGTCTTACAATTTACTGAGGAAAAAATAACCTTTCCAAGAAATAAGTAATTACAATTTAGAAGTTTTTAATCATAATTTAATTTTGAGTTACAGAGTTTTGACAATGTTATTATGTCAAGTTTCAAGGCTTTCTTTCACATTTTAAAACCACAAGTCTGGAAAAGAGATCATAGAAGAAAGCAGAATAGAAAATACCCAGTATCCTCCCCACAACTGATGGGGTAAAATTGATGAGTGTTTGTAATACTATTCTTCCTCTATTTACATATCAATGTTTGGCCTGTTAATTATCAAAATTATAGAAGACGGCTGGTAGCAGGTTATAGTTAAGGGCTCTCAAAATCATCACTAGTCCTATTGGTTTAGTATTAAGTATGGGAATCCAATAACTTCTAAATGACTTAGCAGTGGGTAGATAGAAAAATTAACACATTTCTCTTAAGAATATCATCATTTATAAAGAATAGTTTTACTATTGGGATTGATGAGATGGTTCACTGGGGAGAGGCACTTCATGCCAAACCTGAGTTTGGTCCCTGAGACTCTCATCTGGAAGGCAAGAACTGATTCTACCGTATCCTCTGACCTCCATATGCACACAAGACACACCCCTTCCCCAAAGAAATGAATTTGGTGAATGGATGGAGGGAGCTGGGTGGGAGAAGGGGTGGGGAGGGGAAATGAGGTAGGAGTCAGGTGTGGGGAGGGCAGGAGTAGGAGGAAAGGGATGGGAGTGAGAACAGAAATCGGTGTGGGGGATCTCTGGGATGAGCCGGAGACCTGGGATGGGGGAGGCTACTAGGGGTCTATAAGGTGACCCTAACTGAGACTCTTAGAAGCAGGGGATATGGAGACTGAAGTGGCCACCTCCTGTAGCCAGGTAGAAATAAATTCCAGTGGAAGGGGGGCACCAACCCACTCACAAAACCTTTGACCTTAAATTTGTCCTGCCTATAGGATCTGCAGGGATAAAGATGGAGCAGAGACTGAGGGAACAGCGAGCCAATGACTGGCTGAACTTGAGACTCATCCCATGGGAGACAGCCAGTCCCTGACCCTATTAATGATACTCCACTATGGTGGCAGGCAGGAACCTAGCTTCATCCGGCAGCAGATGGAAAAAAGATGCAGAGACCCACAGCCAAATGTCAGGTGGAGCTCAGGGAGTCTTGTGGAAGAGTTGGGGAAGGATTGAGGGATCTGGGTGGGGTGAAGTCTAGGACACCACAAGACCTACAGTGACAACTAACCTGGGCCCACTGGGGCTCACAGAGACTGAACCACCAACCAAGGGGCATTTGTGTGGTCTTCAAGTGGTTCCCCCGATAACAATTGGAGTGAGGCTGTCTTTGACTCTGTTGCCTGCCTTTGGATCCCCTTCCCCAAATCTGGCTGTACAGTCTGAGTGGAAGAGCATGAGCTGTTGTGACTTGATGTGGCACGGTGGGTTGGAGCCCATGGAGGGGCTTCCCTTTCTCTGAGGAGAAGGGGAGGGAGTAGTTGGGGGATGGGTCTGTGAGGGTGAGATTGGGACCAGAAGAGGGACAGATGATGTGATTAGAATGTAAAGTGAATAAATAAATTAATTAATGAAAAATAGGTACAATTAATAGAAAAAACAATTTTAAAAGTTTACTACTTGTGCTTTTATGAAATATTCCCATTATTAAAATATATTCCCTCCTGTTCCATAGGTTTATTTTTATTTCCTGAGGAGGCAGAAACAGGAGGGAATATTTAGCTACATCGTGCAATATACATACTTTTTCCTTTCAAGAAGTTCCAAAATCCAAAAGTCTTTAAAAATCTTAAAATATGTCTTATTACTCTTACCAAGAATTCATTCACTTCATAAATTTGGTTGCCATTATTGAGCCAACTTTCAAAAGTATTTAAATAACTTTACATATATAATTGAAATACTTACACAGAGAGATCCCATTCTGCGTTCCCTAAGGAAGGCTTCCGCTATGTAAACTATTAAATAAGAACTTCCTCTTACTGAGTGGTTTCCTTACCAAGACCACGGCAGACCACAGGCAACTAACTCATCCCCTCACACCAGAGCTTGACTAGGGATGATCCAGGCACAGAGTCATCACCACACTTCCTAGTCTTACAAAAGACCTACTTGTCGTAAAAGGAAAAAAATGAGAAAAAAAAAGGAAGCTCCCAATATTTAAAAATAAGAACCATGCTAAAAGTATAAATATTTAAAACTATGTCATTTACATATTGCCTGCATATAAAATGAAAACCAGCATTAACATGTCACATCTTTTTTTTTTTCCTTAGAAAATTTCAAGTAGCGCCCTGCTCATAAAAAGGCAAAGGCATGGTGGCATTTTGCAGTAAGCAGCAAGCAGGGCATGGAGCAGCTAAGATGAAGGGGAGGAAGCAGGCCGAGCTCCCTGCATCGTGTGCGCCTTCCTGTAGCTTAAAGCCACACAAAATTATAAGTCATTGTTTCTCAATTAGACAAAAATAGAGAGTCAGCACAGCCATTAAGAGAAACCTCAGAAACTGCCCAGCCTAATCAATAATACCTATCTTTCAATCACATCATAGAAATTCATTCATTCATTCATTCATTCATTCATTCATTCATTCATGTACACTAGGCAATTATATAACCAATGAGCTACAACCTCATTTGACTACAGATTTTTTTTTTTTAAATTTCAAACTTCGACTCCAACTAAGACAATCAGAAAATCAAAAAGAAAACAGAATAAGGCCAAGTCATCTTTTCCATCTTAATCTCACACAGTTTGTTAAAAAGCACTCATGGGAAAGGCCAAGGTGTCCTGTCTAAGTCCCCAAACAAAACACACAGATACTAGCAGAGCTGGCTGTGTAACGATAATTATTTCTGCAGAGCAAAAACTACTGAAGGGAAATAAAAAGCTGCAGGGCAAGTTGTGGGGGAGAAAAAATCAAATTTATATGATGGAGGTAAATTCCTACAAAATAAAAACATCTTGTGAACACAACAGAACAAGATCAACAGTGACAACAGACCGCCAGGCAAGAAGCCAAAACTCACAACTTACAGTGAGGGAAACACCAGACATCTCTGAGCAGATATTCACGCTAGCTTCATAACAAGACAAAGGGAAGATAAACCTCAGAATTTGACAAAAACAAGGTTTGTCAGCTCTGTGCTGCCAGAATCGTGGGAAAAGAATAAAGCAGGTGTCATGGGTGAAAGTGGAAACTGAGTCATACAGTTTTTAAAAAGCAACTGGAGATGCAGTGTGGTGGAATCCAGGCTCTGGGGAGACTGAGGCAGGAGGATTGAGTTTAAACCAGCCTAAAAATGGGTAAAATGTAAACTAAAATCCTTTGATTCAGTAATGTTTGCTCTAGAAAATAATTGTGTGCTTGGTGCAAATGTTGCATGTACATTCTCTCCAGGGTACATTTTCAATATTGTCACAGGGAAAAATGGGGTCTCCCATTTGGGTTCTTAGCCTCATTAAAAAAAGAATTTAAGAACAGGCTCAGAAGAAACCTTTAGGAAATTTTATTAGTGTCTAAAAGGCGGGACAGGAAGCTGTAGATCTCTGTAGTTCCCTGGAAGAATAAGATGCAAGATGGAGAGAGCAAGCCAGAGTTTCTGCAGCTACAATGAAGGTGCAGGCTGAGGATGGCGAGCTTATAGCTTGGTAAAGAGTAAGAGGCCAGGGGAGGCAGAGGCAGCCTGATCTCTGAGTTGGAGGCTAGCCTGGTCTCCATGTGAGTTCCAGAACAGCCAGAGCTAGACAGTGAGATCCTGTCTCAAAAAACAAGCAAACAAACAAAATGACAACACACAGGCACACACACACATACACACACACACACACACACACACACACACACACACAGGCACACACATACAAAGAAGAAATAAAAAAAGACCAGAGAAAGCATACTTTGCGTATGATTTGGCAAATATATATATATATGAGAGAGAGAGAGAGAGAGAGAGAGAGAATGAGAGAGAGAGAGAGAAATAGGGAAAGTTGTGCTTTTATGAGTAGGGCCTCAGACAGGAAGGCAGGCTTCATAGCTACATGGGTGCAACTTGACTGCACAGGGAGCCCACATGTGGGGAAGGAAGGGAATAATTACCCATCCATTTCTTTAGCATGACCCACCCTTCAGGTGACTGACCCACTGGGTCAGCTCTTGAGGGAAGAGACCATGGCTGGTCTTCACCCAGAGGGAGATTCCATTCTTTTGACCAGAAGGAACTAGCTTTCCCTTAGGGGTTCCTCAAGGTCTTCAGTAAAAGCATCAGAAATAAAGAGAGGCACCACTTAAAGAACGTGTGGTGTCCACAGGACAGAACACTGTACAGAAGGAGCAGTTCTCTTCAGGGTATGAAAAAGTATCAGATAAAAAGTTGATACAAACAATATGCGCTT